ATATATGACAAACCCACAGCCAACATCATACTCAATGGACAAAAACTAACACCATTTCCCCTAAGAACAGGAACAAGACAGGGATGCCCACTCTCACCACTCCTGTTTGATGTAGTACTGGAAGTATTAGCCATTGAAATTAGACAAGAAGAAGAAATAAAAGGCATCCAAATTAGAAAAGAAGAAGTAAAACTGTCCTATTTGCAGATGACATGACATTATACATAAAAAACCCTAGACTCCATCAAAAAACTATTAGATTTAATAAAAGAATTCGGCAATGTAGCAGGATACAAAATTAACGCCAAGAAATCTGTGGCATTTCTATACACCAATAGTGAACTTACAGAAAGAGAGACTAAAAAAACAATCCCATTTACCATCGCACCAAAAAAATTAAGCTCCCTAGGAATAAACTTAACTAAGGAGGTAAAAGACCTCTACTCAGAAAACTACAGGATGTTGAAAAAAGAGATAGAGGAAGACATAAACAGATGGAAGAACATACTATGTTCTTGGATTGGTAGAATCAACATCATTAAAATGTCCATACTACCCAAAGCAATCTATAAATTCAACGCACTTCCCATTAAAATACCAACGGCATACTTCACAGGCCTAGAACGAACTCTCCAAAAATTCATCTGGAATAAAAAAAGACCCTGAATAGCTGCAGCAATCCTGAGAAAGAACAAAGTAGGTGGGATCTCAATACCAGATATCAAGATGTATTACAAAGCCACTGTTCTCAAAACTGTCTGGTATTGGCACAAGAACAGACATATAGATCAATGGAATAGAATAGAGAGCCCAGAAATCGGCGCAAACCAATATGCTCAATTAATATTTGACAAAGGAGGCAAGAACATACAATGGAGCCAAGACAGTCTCTTCAGTAAATGGTGTTGGGAAAATTGGACGGATAAATGCAAGAAAATGAAACTAGACCACCAACTTACACCATACACAAAAATAAACTCAAAATGGATAAAGGACTTAAATGTACTATGGGAAACCATAAAAATACTAGAAGAATCCAAAGGCAACAAAATCTCAGACATATGCCAAAGCAATTTCTTCACTGATACAGCTCCTAGGGCATTGGAAACTAAAGAGAAAAAAAACAAATGGGACTACATCAAAATAAAAAGCTTCTGCACAGCAAAAGAAACCACCAACAAAACAACAAGAAAGCTAACTGCGTGGGAAAACATATTTGCCAATGTCATATCTGATAAGGGCCTAATCTCCAAAATTTATAGGGAACTCATACAACTTAACAAAAGGAAGATAAACAATCCAATCAAAAAATGGGCAAAGGACCTAAATAGACACCTTTCAAAAGAGGACACTCAGAAAGCCAAGAGACATATGAAAACTTGCTCAAAGTCACTAATCATCTGAGAGATGCAAATCAAAACAACAATGAGGTACCATCTCACACCTGTCAGACTGGCTATCATCAACAAATCAACAAACGACAAGTGCTGGAGAGGATGTGGAGAAAAAGGAACACTCATGCACTGCTGGTGGGAATGCAGACTGGTGCAGCCACTATGGAAGACAGTATGGAGTTTCCTCAAAAAACTAAAAATGGAACTCGCATTTGACCCTGTGATCTCACTTCTAGGAATATATCCCAAGAAACCAGAAACACCAATCACAAAGGATATATGCACCCATATGTTCGTAGCAGCACAATTCACCATAGCTAAGATCTGGAAACAGCCTAAGTGTCCATCAGTAGATGAACGGATTAGAAAACCGTGGTACATCTACACGATGGAATACTATGCTGCTGTAAAAAAGAAGGAACTCTTACCATTTGCAACAGCATGGATGGAACTGGAGAGAATTATGCTAAGTGAAATAAGCCAGTCAATGAAGGAAAAATACCACATGATCTCACTCATTCATGGATAATAGAGACCATTATAAACTTTTGAACAATAATAGATACAGAGGCAGAGCTGCCTCAAACAGATTGTCAAACTGCAGCGTGAAGGCCGGGGAGGGTTGGGGGGCAGGAGGGAGGGGTGTAAGAGATCAACCTAAGGACTTGTATGCATGCATATAAGCATAACCAGTGGACATAAGACACTGGGGGATAGGGGAGGCTATGGGACTGTCAAGGGCGGGGGGGAAAAAGGACACATATGTAATACCCTTTGTAATACTTTAAGCAATAAAAAAAGAAGAAAAGAAAAATATATTCCAAATTTTGTTAGTTGTATAATGGTTATGTTTAAATTATTAACACCTAAGAAATTGGGTGAAGGGTACATATAATATGCTGTAGTATTTTATATTTTTTTTTACATGTATGAGATTATTTCAAATTAAAATATTAAAAAATTAAAAATTAATAAAATATTAATTGAAATGTATCTGCATTACATGAAAAAAAAAGAAGGAACTCTTACCATTTGCAACAGCATGGATGGAACTGGAGAGCATTATGCTAAGTGAAACAAGCCAGTCAATGAATGAAAAACACCACATGATCTCGCTCACTCATGGGTAATAAAGACCATTATAAACTTATGAACAAAAATAGATACAGAGGCAGAGCTGCCGCGAACAGACTGTCAAACTACAGCGGGAAAGCCAGGGAGGGTTGAGGGGCGGGAGGAGGGGTGGGTAAGAGATCAACTGAAGGACTTGTATGCATGCATATAAGCATAACCAATGGACATAAGACACTGGGGGGAAGGGGAGGCTGGGGGATTGTTAAGGGCAGAAAAAAAAGGAGACACATGTAATACCCTTTGTAATACTTGAAGCAATAAAAAAAAATGAAAAATAAATAAATAAATAAAAGAAAAGAAAACACTTAAAAACTGGACTTCATTTAAATTAAAAACATATAATATTCATGAAATTAAAAAGTTATAAAGGTGGAGAATAAATTAGGAGTCTCTAAAGACAAGAAGGTGAGAGGAGGGAGTTGGCTATGGTTATAAAAGGGAAACATGAGGGATCCTTATAGTGATGAAATAATTCTGTATCTTAACTGTGGTGGTGGTAGTGCTTACAAAATTCACATGTGTGATAAAATTATATAGAACACACCCACACACGAGTACATGTAAAACCAATGAAATTTAAATAAGGCTTGTGAAACCTTGATTGTGACACTATACTACATTTGTGCAAAATGTTATCATTGAGAAAAAGGTAAAAGGTATACAGGACCTCTCTATACTATTTTTGCAAGTTATTATAAATCTATTATTTTAAACGTAAAAATTTCATCGAACTACATACCAAAATACTCAACTGTGATTCTCAATCAAAAAGATGTACATTAGCATCACTTGCAGAACTTTATAAAAATAAATGTACCTGGGCCACACCCCCACAATTCCAATTTGATAAGTCTAGGATGGGACCTGGGCATCTGTGATTCTGTGATCTGCACACTAAAGATCCATCCCTATGGATTACCACTACTTTAAAAGTGGAGGGTAAGAAATACACACATGAACAGTGGTTGTGGGATCATAGGTCATTGTAATTTCCTACCCTGCTATAATAAATGTGAAGTTTTGTACAATAAAAGTAACAAAAGCTGTTATAAAAAAGATTCAGTTCATCATTCTAGCTGGTAGATATATTTTATTTCTGTTATCCATTTATTATTCCCTATCCCTACTCCCAATTTCAATTACCCATGAATTTGATGAGTAGATCTTCTTTGTTCTCTGTTCTCATTTACATCACCAATAAAAAAAGGTTGATCAAAGTCTGCTGGAAGTCCACTAGAAATCTTGTTGTAGCTTGGTAATGATCAATAATCTTTGGGATTAATTTTATTTATTTAAGATCTCTCCAAATGTTACTCTTACCTAATTTATTAGTCTCCATCATTTCCATAAGATAATAGACATTTTCATGCTTTGTTGATGTCCAATCTCCCACCTTTCCCCAGTCGGTCACTCCAAAGTGAGCCTGAACCATTTCTCTGGCACTTAAAGGATATTAAACTACATTAACTTTTCTCCCTAATTATACAGGAACATTCTGCTAGACATAGACTATGCCTTATATTTCTGTGCAAACTCCATAGCAATCCATTCGATTCCATTCATTCAACAAATATTTATTGACACCCTTCTATGTGCCAGGTATTATTCTAGGCTACCTTTCCTTAATGTAAAATGATAATTAAATATTCACTGTAGTATTCCCTTACCAACCAACTCTGGACAAACAGCTACCTGCCACGTTTGGTGCTACACTGTCCTTCCTATTATCCATCCTACCCAAACTTGAAGGACTTTGCCACTGACCCCTATCAAAATCACTAGATATACTTTTACAAGATTTTAAGAAGAATTAAACTACCATATCATCAGTTTCTTTTTTTTATATATAAATAATTTCTTCTTCCATTTGTTTCTCCAGTATCTAATTTATAACGTTCTTATAGTATTTGGTATATTTTACTATGTATGTACTTATTTGTGTGCATGTCTTACCTTGACTGAGCTTATATAATAAAAGGCTAATATGCAAATTGACCAAATGGTAGAACAACTGGTCGCTATGATGTGCACTGACCACCAGAGGGCAGACACTCAATGCAGGAACTGCCCCCTGGTGGTCAGTGCACTCCCACAGGGGGAGTGCTGCTCAGCCAGAAGCCAGGCTCACAGCTGAGGAGCGCAGCAGCGGTGGTGGGAGCCTCTCCCACCACCATGGCAGCGCTAAGGATGTCCGACTGACAGCTTAGGCCTGCTCTCCTGAGGGCTCCTGGACTACGAGAGGGCGAAGGCTGGGCTGAGGGAGCTTCCCACCCCCCACCCCCCCCCGCTCCAAGTGCACAAATTTCGTGCACTGGGCCTCTAGTATATCATAAGCTTTCCAAAGGCAGGAACCATGGCTTATTCAGCTCTGTAGACCCAGTACATTTTTACCACGTCTGGAACCTGGCATTGCTAAATGAATAATTGATAAACAGAATAGCAGTTCCTTAAAGCAGGAGTTGCCAGGCTTACCTGTATTTTCACCAACCAGTTCACAAGAGAGACCCTCATGTCACTGTTGATCTCAGTCTGACTTCTCATGTAATTTTTAAGTCTGAACTTTTCCTGGTGGCAACAAGAAAGGAATGTTAATAAACTATTCTTATAGTTCAAAAACTGTATCTGAGGAAAAAATATTTGCAACTAATATCTCAGAAAAAAATATAACTTAACATAATTAACTTCTTCACTATTTAACTCATTTTCAGCTGGTATCTGATAAAGGCAGATCAAAGTAAACTTTCCCAGTTCTTTGAAAAAGGGACACACATGATATTCAAGTGTCACAGTGGATACTGAGGAATCCAGGGGGAAGACAGGCAGAAACATATCTATGATTAGATGAATATCAAAAAGGTTCTGCCTCCTATTTGAAATTCAACCTAAAAGCACAATACCATTCTATGTAGAGCAATGCTTCTCAAACTTTAACATGCATATATACCACTTGGAGGATCTTTAAAATTCACATTCTACTTAGAAGGTCTGGGGTGGGTCTAGGTTTTTGCATTTCTAACAAAATCCCAAGTGAAACCTATAGTGCTGAGCTAAGGCCCACACTTTTGGCATAGCAAAGTTTTCTCTTACTTCCTCTAAGGTATACTAGAAAAAAATGTAGGCTCTAAAGTCAGTTAATCAAAAGCTATGTCTCTAGTGAAAATAAGAGTTATTCATCCTCCCTCTCAGGCATGGCCTGCTAAAATTCTAGTTGGCACATAATCTTGGTCCCATCTGTTCTGTTGAAAGAGACAGGGAAAAAAACTTGAAATTGATGAATATTAGTAGTAAAAGAGACTGGCAGATTTCAAAGGAGGAAGAAAATTTCACCAGGTTGGAGAGGTAAAACAAAGGATATGATTTTATATATGATGCCAGAAACTTGCATAGAGAAAGGAAAAGATCTCTAATAGCAGCTACTCAGAGGAGACTACTTGACCATTTTGTGTCTGAGACTGTCTCCTCAGCAATTAGAGGTGTAGGCTTATGTTCCTCTAGGTAATAATACTTCATTTCATATCCCAACTCTACCACATACTAGTTGTGTGACTATGGACAGTTTCCCCCATCTATAAAAAGGAGATAATAGTACCTACCATCATGAAATTAATGGGAGAATTAAACAAGATAATGTCTATAAATTCCTTAGCACAACGTATAACTCATAGTAAGCTACCAGTAGATGCCAGTTGTTGCCCCCCTTTCAACTCATATTTGAAGGATGAAGTGATGAGGAAATGAGAACTAAAAATCATTCCTACCCCCCACCAGTCATCTACATACCTCTCTCGCCTTCATGTAGTTGAAGATATCCTTGGTGTATGCTAAGTTGAAATATGGATCATAATGGCCCCCATCAATTATCTCCAGTATTGTTATCTGATTGGAAATCACCAAAAAGTCATATTAGGAGAAAGAGTCCAAGGAAGGCTTAGCATATGCACATAAACAATGACTTCTTTCTTTCCACTGTCATCTTCTACTAAGGTTCTTCAAGCTTCATACATCCTGGACCATAACAGAGCACCCTTGCACCCTGCAATCCTCATGCTGCTGAGTGACCAAGATATGCTTAGTCCTCCTTGTACATGTCTGCTCTACCCTAGGAATCTGACACCATTTTTACAGGTAAGCTCAAGATTCTTCAACAACACCGTTATTTTACTATTTTGTCTTATGTCATCTGTCTTCTTAGGTTCCTTGTCCCAAAGCTTTAATCTGGCCCAAATCATCTTCTTGGTAGCCTTTTCCACCATTCTACACCTTTATTCAGGTTGTTTTGCCTACAAGAGGGCTATTTCTCTCTCTATTTGCCAAATCTCATCCCTTTACCCTTTCAATTTACAACTTAAAGAGCATCTTCCTTAGGAGATGCCTCCATGAACTTTACCCATCTTTGACTGAAGTCCACTTGAATTCAGATTGCAATTACTAAGAAATGCAATTTCCCAAGAAGTAAATACTACTGCAAAGCCTATATATATTTATATACAGTATTACAGGCTCTTGTGGGTATTCCTAGAATAAACACTCTCTAATTGCTTAGGTGAATCACTATGCCAATCAGAAAGTCAAGAGGTTCTACAAGGCCAACTTGATTTACTATAACTTATAATATATAGTTCAGTTTCTGTTTAAGAAAAAAAAATCTCTTTGCTAGCAGCTACCTCCATGACAACAAAGAACATTTAATCTAATGTAAGAAGAGAGCAGAATACCTTCTTCTTTGATATATGGCGCCAATAGGAGAAACGTTTTTTGGAACTGGATTTACGAGCACTGTACTTCCTTTTGGTTTTATACTTGCCCAAACTAGTCATTTTGCCAAAGTTGGCCATGCCTGTTTGGGATTCAGGGGGAGAGTTGAACACATGTGAGCTGTTATTAACTTGGAGTGTTGATAAATCTTTAAGAAAAGTGTCTTCCTTTTGGGTGGGATTATCTTGCAAGGTCAATGGCCCCTCAAAGGACAACTTCTTCCGAGTGGTAGATTTCTTATTCAACATCTTTAAATTGAATGAGTCATCGATGGTAGGCTTCCCCTGAAAAGTTAATTCTTCAATGATGAGGGGATCCTTCTCAATGCTGGGCTTCTGCTGCAAGGACAATTGCTTCTTCAAGAGGAACACCTCCCCTTGAGCAGTGGACTTCTCCTTTAAAGATAATTGACTCTCTGTGCTTATTATTGCTTCAGTGGAGAGCTTCTTCTTCCGAATCAATGGTTTCTTCAAAAGGAAATCCTCTTCAGTGGTGCTTTTCTCCTGAAAAATCAACCGCTTCTTCAAGGAGTCCTCTTTGGTATCAGTGATATGCTTCTTCTTTAAAGATAACAGCGTCTTGTCAATTGCCTCCTCAGTTGAAGACTGCTTCCTAAATGGCCCTGGCTTCATAACAAAGAAATCCTTATCTTTGCCAATCATATTCTGCAAGTCCAGCACTTCTTGGCAGATGGGCATCATTATTTGAGTGGTGTACTTTCTCTTATTTAAAGATAATGGCTCCTTGCTGGAGATTGCCTCATTTGTGGTATGTTTCTTCCTACAGGAAACTGGCTCCATAAGAAATTCATCTTTGCTGTGGATATTCTCCTGCAATGCCCGAGGCTTCTTCAAGAGGGCTGCCTCCCCCTGAGTGGTGTGCTTCTCTAGCAACATAGATGATCCCTTGAAGAGGAACTCCTCCTCAGTGGTAGGCTTCTTTTTAAAGGACAATGGCTCCTTAATGAGTGACTTCTCTTCAGAAATGGCCTGCAATACTAGTGGCTTCTTCAAGCAGGATAGCTTATCTTCAGTGGTACGTCTCTTTGCAAACACTAGCACCTCATTGGGGGTCGCCTTCTCCATGGTACGCTTCTTCTTAAAAGCCAAAGGCTCCTTTAAAAGTGAGTCCTCTTCAGTTGGATTCTTTTGCAAGGCCAAGGGCTTCTTTAAGACAGACATGTCCCCCTCAGTGGTATGCTTCTCTTGCAACAGAAATGGCTCTTGGAAAAGGAACTGCTTAGTGGTAGACTTAGTCTCAAAAGGAAATGGTTCCTCATTGAGCAACTTCTCTCTGGAGGTGGCTTTCTGCAATATTAGTGGCTTCCTCTTATAAGACACCTTCTCCTGAGGGGTACACTTATTTAAAGTTAACAGCCCCTTGGTGGTGGTAGACTCCTCAGTTTTAGGTTTCTTCCTAAAGTCCATTGGCTCCACAAAAGAATCCTCTTCAATGTTATTGTCCAGTGAGGTCATTTCCTTCACACGGCCGAACTGCTTAGTGGTAGACTTATTCTGAAAAGGAAATGGTTCCTCATTGAGCAACTTCTCTCTGGAGGTGGCCTTCTGCAATATTAGTGGCTTCCTCTTATAAGACATCTTCTCCTGAGTGGTATACTTATTTAAAGTCAACAGCCTCTCAGTGGTGGTAGACTCCTCAGTTTTAGGTTTCTTCCTAAAGTCCATTGGCTCCACAAAAGAATCCTCTTCAATGTTATTGTCCAGTGAGGTCATTTCCTTCACACGGCCGAACTGCTTAGTGGTAGACTTATTCTCAAAAGGAAATGGTTCCTCATTGAGCAACTTCTCTCTGGAGGTGGCTTTCTGCAATATTAGTGGCTTCCTCTTATAAGACACCTTCTCCTGAGGGGTACACTTATTTAAAGTTAACAGCCCCTTGGTGGTGGTAGACTCCTCAGTTTTAGGTTTCTTCCTAAAGTCCATTGGCTCCACAAAAGAATCCTCTTCAATGTTATTGTCCAGTGAGGTCATTTCCTTCACACGGCCGAACTGCTTAGTGGTAGACTTATTCTCAAAAGGAAATGGTTCCTCATTGAGCAACTTCTCTCTGGAGGTGGCTTTCTGCAATATTAGTGGCTTCCTCTTATAAGACACCTTCTCCTGAGGGGTACACTTATTTAAAGTTAACAGCCCCTTGGTGGTGGTAGACTCCTCAGTTTTAGGTTTCTTCCTAAAGTCCATTGGCTCCACAAAAGAATCCTCTTCAATGTTATTGTCCAGTGGGGTCATTTTCTTCACACGGCTGAACTGCTTAGTGGTAGACTTATTCTCAAAAGGAAATGGTTCCTCATTGAGCAACTTCTCTCTGGAGGTGGCCTTCTGCAATATTAGTGGCTTCCTCTTATAAGACACCTTCTCCTGAGTGGTACACTTATTTAAAGTTAACAGCCTCTCGGTGCTGGTAGACTCCTCAGTTTTAGGTTTCTTTCTAAAGTCCATTGGTTCCATAAAAGTGTCCTTTGCAATGTTATTGTCCAGTGAGGTCATTTCCTTCACACAGCCAAACTGCTTAGTGGTAGACTTATTTTCAAAAGGAAATGGTTCCTCATTGAGCAACTTCTCTCTGGAGGTGGCTTTCTGCAATATTAGTGGTTTTCTCTTATAAGACACCTTCTCTTGAGTGGTACACTTATTTAAAGTTAACAGTCTCTCAGTGGTGGTAGACTCCTCAGTTTTAGGTTTCTTCCTAAAGTTCATTGGCTCCACAAAAGAATCCTTTTCAATGTTATTGTCCAGCGAGGTCAATTCCTTCACACAGCAGAATTGCTTCTCTTGACTTATATACAACTTCGTGGAGGATAATGTCCTCTTAGCAAAAGTTGCCTCTCCAGTTTCATGCTTATTCCCAAAAGTCACTGGCTCTGAAACAAACTCAAAATCACTCTCAGTCTCCCCCAGCAAGGATAGTGGCTCCACAAATTCAGATGTCTTATTCCAATTTATGTCCTTCTTTAAAGATAATGACCTCTTGATATGAGTTGTGTTCCTAGTAGTGGGTTTCTCTTTTAAAACTAATGGCTTTTTTAAAAGAGATGCCTCCTCAGTAGTGGGTGCTTTAGAGATGGTAGATATATTCACAGTGAGTGGTTTCTCCACAAAGTTTAGTACCATGGTGCTAACTGCTGATGATGAGAGTTCCAATTCATATCTGTAAAGAAAACAATATCTGGGTAAGAAGAATGTAGTTCCTAGAATCTTCACCTACCATCTCATTTTGTTGCCAAATGTACTAAAGGTATGAAAGTGAAAAGGCCTTCAACTCCAGGAGACAGATTAAAGTGTAAAAATCAATGCGTACCATAGTGAATTAACTAAATAGCAGTTTATAGTTTCTATGACCTACATCCCCTCACTTTTCTGAAAAATTTCTCCTGAAATCCATGCTATACTTTTAGAATGTATTATTTATTACCTTTAATTATATATAAAGGCTTTCATTATAATACTTACCACATTGTATGAGTTATCTGCTTACATATCAGTCTCCCTCACTAGCTGCAATTATTTGTCTTTATATATTAGAACTAGGCATCTGGTAAAATTCAGGTTGAAATTAATATTTTTGAAAACTTATGAGAGAGGATTTTAAGAGAGAAGTGTATAAGAGGCTCAAGAAGGGTTATAAGTAAAAGCTGGGCACTTAACGTTGGTGGTATCTAACCATAGTCCCTTTACCCTAGACTATTCACAAGGTATTTTCTCAGTGGACATGAAAAGACCAAAATAAGCATTGTTCGCATGTGTCAGATGCAAAGCTTTGTTTTGTATAGGATTTCATGTCCAATCAGAGTGAGTAACCTGGTGTAACTAAATCATTGGATGACTAGAAATCAGAATAAGAGAGAGAATTAAAAACAAATACAATCATCAGTCTGCACAAGAATAAGTACCTCCAAGAAACTATGTATCATATGATTCCATTTATCTGAAACACCAATAGACATATCCATAGAGGATATTCATAACAGAAAGTAGATTGGTGGTTGACTGGGGCTGAAAAGGGGTGGGTCTGGGAAGGGAAGGGTAGGAAGGAAGACTGAAAAGGGAAGGGACTGCTAATGGGTACGAGTTTCTTTTGGGGGGGGGGTACAGAATATTGGAAAAGTTCTAAAATTAGATAGTGGTGATGTGATGGCTATACAACTAACTCTATGAATATAATACCAAAAAACAATGAATTATTTTTAAAAAAGAAGTGCCAGCTGTACTAGTAGAAATTGACAAGCTGATTCTAAAATTTATATGGAATTTCAAGGAACCCAGAATAGCCAAAACAATCTTGAAAAAAAGGAACAAAGTTGGAGGCAATTTCAAAATGCCTTACAGAGCAACAATAACCAAGATAGTTGTGGTACTGATATAACTACAGATATGTAGATCAATGGAATAAAATTAAGAGTTCAGAAATAAACACTTACCTTAACAATCAATTTTGACATGGTTGTCAAGACAATTAAGTGGAGAAAGATTAGTCTATTTAAGAAAAAGGTGCTAGAACTGGATCTCTACATGCGAAACAATTAATTTAGACCTCTAACATACACCACCAACAGAAATTAACTAAAAAAAGCCTAAGTTAAGAGCTAAAACTTTAAAACTCTTAAAAGAAAATCATAAAAATAAGCAAAGAAAAAAAAAGGTCACGGACATAGTATGGTGATTACCAGAGGAAAAGGGGGGTGGGGGAGGTAGAAGAGGGTAAAGGGGGATAAATAGTGATGGAAGGAGAATTGACTTGGGGTGGTGAACATACAGTACAATATATAAATGATGTATTATAGAACTGTACACGTGAAACAAAAAAATTCAATAATATTCTTTAAAAATAAAAATTTTAAGACGTAAATCTCTATAACCTTGGATTTGGCACTGGTTTCTTATTAAATATGACACCAAAAGCATAAGCAACAAAGAAAAATATAAATTGAATTCCACAAAATTAAAAATGTTTGTGCATCAAAGGACACCAACAGGAAAGTGAAAATACAACCCACAGAATGGATAAAAATATTTCCAAATCATTTATCTGATCAGGGACTTATATCTAGAGTATGCAAAGAACTCTTACAAATTCAATAATGAAAAGCTCAATGACTAAATTATAAAAAGGGGACAAAGGATCTGACTAGATATTCTTCCAAAGAAGATATGCAAGTGACCACTAAGCATATGAAAGATGTTGAATGTCAGAGAAATGCAATCTAAAGAAGGAGATACTACTTCACACCCACTAGGATGGCCATAATTTTTTTTAAAGAAAGAAGATAACAAGGGTTGACAGGGATATGGAGAATTAGAAACCCTCATATATTGCTTGTAGGATTGTAAAATAGTGCAACCACTGTAGAATATAGTTTCACAGTTCCTCAAAGAGTCCAACATAGAATTGCCATTTGACCTAGCAATTATATTCCTAGGAATATACACAAAAGGATCCTATATAAAAAAAGCCTAATACGCTAAGTGTCTGGTCATTCAGTCGTCTGTTCAATCAAAGCATAATATGCTAATGATATGCTAAGGCTGCTCAACCACTCGCTATGACATGCACTGACAACCAGGGGACTGACACTCTGACCAATAGGTTAGCTTGCTGCTGGGGTCCAGCTGATCAGGACTGGGCGAGATGGGCCAGACACAACCTGGAGCCCTCCTGTGGTCCCTCCCTGACTGGCCAACCTCCTGTGTCCCATCCCTCCCCGGCCCTGATCATCCACCAGTGGGGTCCTTCAGCCTGGCCTGCACCCTCTCGCAATCATCAATCCCTTGGGGGATGTTGGAGATACAGTTTCAGCCTGATCCTGCAGGCCAGGCTGAGGGACCCCACTGGTGCACAAATTCGTGCACTGGGCCTTTAGTCTATCTACACTAATAAAAGAGAAAGATGCAAATTAACCATCACTCTGCCACTCCACTACTCCTATAAGCCACGCCCACCGGTCAATCAGGAGTGAGTATGCAAATTAACCCAACTAAGGTGGTGGCGGCCACGGAGCTGGAGCAAGCAAGAGGCTTGGGTTGTCCCAGGCGATGGAGGAAGCCAAGCTTCCCGCCTGCCCTGACCAGCCCTGGGCTCTGCTCAAGGCTACAAAGTTTCAATTATAGAAGATAAATAAATCCCAGATACTGCGTCCAGCCCACCCTGGCCTCCACTCAAGGAGGTGCTGAAGAAAAAAGAAAGAAAAAAAGGAGAGGCTGGGAGCTTAGGTCGCTGGGGGGCGTGGCCAGCCTGTAAATGGCCCTCAGCCCCTCACCCAGGCTGGCCAGGCACCCCAGCGGGACCCCCACCCTGATCCGGGACACCCTTCAGGGCAAACCAGCTGGCCCCCACCCGTGCACCAGGCCTCTATCCTATATAATAAAAGGGTAACATGCAAATTGACCCTAACTGGGAATGACTGGTCACTGACACATACTGACCACCAGGGAGCAGACGCATAATGCAGGGGGAGCTCTGCTCAGCCACAAGCCAGGCTGATGGCTGCCAGCACAGCGGTGGTGGCAGGAGCCTCTCCCGCCTCCTCAGCAGCACTAAGGATGTCCGACTGCAGCTTAGGCCTGCTCCCCACTGGCAAATGGACATCCCCTGAGGGCTTCGGGGCTGCCAGAGGAATGTCTGACTGCCAGCTTAGGCCTGATCCCCTGGGGATCCCAGCAGGTGGACATCCCCCGAGGGGTCCCAGACTGTGAGGGCACAGGCCGGGCTGAGGGACCCCCCCGAGTGCACAAATTTTTGTGCACTGGGCCTCTAGTATATATATAAAAGCCTAAGTGACTGTTACAAATGAACAACTGGAACAACAGGTCGACCAGTTGCTATGACGCACACTGACCACTAGGGGGCAGACGCTCAACACAGGAGCTGCCCCCTGGTGGTCAGTGCACTCCCACAGGGGGAGCGCCACTCCGCCAGAAGCCAGAGTCATGGCTGATGAGCACAGCTACCATGACAGGAGCCTCTCCTAACACCGCGGCAGTGCTACCAAGCAGTAGTGGCAGGCACAGTGGGCTGGGATGAGCATGAGCAGTGTGGTGCTGGCTCAGGCAGGTTCCTCCCTGGCCGCCTGCTGCTTGGTGCACTGCTACATCCCTCAGGGGATGTCTGACTGCCTGGCCTGGCCTGGCCTGCGAGGATCAGGCTAAACCAGCAGTAAGACATCCCCTGAGGGGTCCCAGACTGCAAGAGGGAGCAGGCCAGGTTGAGGGACTTCCACCCCCCCCCTTCAAGCACGAATCCATGCACCGGAACTCTGGTTGAAAATAAGTGTTCAAACAAAAACTGGTATGTGAATGTTCATACGAGCACTATTCAGAATAACCAAAAGGTGTAAACAACCCAAAAATCCACCAACTGATGAAAGGATAAACAAAATATGGTATATGCATCCATAGGATGGAATATTTGGCAATAAAACAAGAATGAAGTACTCATACCTGCTACAACATGGCTGAACCTTGAAAACATTATGCTACATGAAAGAAGCTAGACACATAAGACCACAAATTATATAATTCCATTTATATGAAATGTCTAGAATAGGCAAATCTATAGAGATGGAAAATAGATTAGTAGTTGCTTAGAGCTCAGAAGGATGGCAGAATTGAGAATTGAGATATAATAGCTAAAGGCACAGGGTTTCTTTTGGGGCTGAGCGTAGATCTATGAACCAGGAGGTCATGGATCAATTCCTAGTCAGGTCACAAACCTGAGTTTTGGGCTGGATCCCCAGTAGGGGGTGTGCAGGAGGCAGCCAATCAATGATTCTCTGTCATCATTGATGTTTTTATCTATCTCTCTCCCTTCCTCTCTGAAATCAATAAAAATACATTTTAAAAAAATAAACCAAGTAGGGCTAACTGCTAATCTTCTGGTTTGATTGCTTTGAGTTGGGTAATTGACAAAGTGTCCTGTGGACCTGGCATGTTAATTTTCTTAATTTCCCCAACTTTTCCCCCTTACCATTTGGAACCCATGCTTAGCCCCATTATAGATATCTATCTAACCTATTCTATTCTTCCCTGATGAAGTAATTCCCACTGGAATGAGGAGAAGATATAGAAACATCTCACTCCACTCTCTAACTCCTCTTCTAATAAAATTTTTCCTCAGGGTAAATCCTTTCTCTAATCCTAGATGGGAATACTTATACTTACCATATTTGCAGAACCTATGAACAGTTCCCTGTAACAGCTGGAAAACACATGTTTTTGGCCTAGGGAGACAGTAATCTCTCTCCAATAACAAGGGACAAACATCCCCTAAAGCTTCTAATGAATAAGTGGACTAGCAAGCTATCAAACAGCTGCTAAGAATCCTCTAAAAATTTAAGTTGCCCCAAACTCTCAAGTACAGAGAGTTCTAACAGGGACTGAATTACTAAAAGATAGAAAAGGTGAACACAAGATCTTTTGGCAAATTCCCCAATGACAACAGCTTTTTCAATATGCAAATACCCCATGGAAAAGGAGAGGGAGAAAAGAGGCCTGTAACATTTTAGCAACCACAGCTGAGTCCACCTCAGCAACCAAAGTTAATGTAGTAATCACCAACATGGCTTATTAAACATGTTTTCAATGAGGACAAAAGGAAGTCAAAAGGATGTCACACACTCTCCTTTACCATCTAAAACAATGCCATCTGTGTCACCTCTTACTTTTTTATATTTATCGCATTGTTTCTGGCCAACTCAAGAGCAGTTGTGTTCTTGTTTATCTTCTTGGAAATGTCTTTAACAACCTCCTTATTGGCTTCCTTCTTGGGTTGGGCAGGTGGACTCTGAGAAGCCTACAAAAAATAGGGGAGAAAAGGCAGCAAAAAAATTGAGAGAACAATAAATTACCCAATAGGTGGCTCTTATAGGAACGTCCTGACCCACATCCCCACCCTAGACACTTTGTTTGAGTGTTCGAGGAATAATCAAAATATCTCACAACCAGTATAGTACTGGTGTGGACTAATCACAGTGAAAGCTAGCAGAACAGTACAACTGGTAATTATTAGCTAAATAGCAGTCCTAAATCAAGCATGTCAAACTCACAGCCAGCAGGCCATATGTCTCATTTAAATGATTCTAAGAAATATAGAAAGTAGTTCTTATCTCCATGTTAGGCATACTGGCTGGCAAATTCTCCAAAAGATGTTTTGCTAATATCACATTCCACTTTCACCCCAGAAGATGTTCAGAGGTGGGGGGAGGCAATATAACTGGCTTTGCTGCCTGGGTATACTAAGGTCAACTAGGTTTTCAGGGTTGAGCTCTAACACAACACTACCTATGATACATTTATTCCATTTCATTGAAGGGATATTAAATATGGAACTCTGAGGAGTTCCACCCCATATTCTAATCATGACTAATTGTATTAAACATTAGGAGAGATCCCGAGTCTGCAAATAATGTCAGTAAAATTAAATTTATAAGTTATACCTTTAAAATGAAATACATTTAACCTAATTATAGTCCAAATAAATACCATTACCATACTAAAGAAAAAAAGAAGATAATATAAGAAAAGAAAAAACTAGCTTAAGTAAACACAACATTAGACTATATACCCTCAATCTGTACACCGTCAATCAGGGTGGATTTGTGGAGTGGCAGGGAATACTGCCAATAAATATGGAACTCTTTTTAGTAGGTTTGTTTATTATGATGGTATATATGCAGTAATTTTGAAACTCCTTTAGAAATATTACAGTATTGAGTAAATGTGTTGATGTTCTTGGGAACCAGGATTCTTATTGTAGAAGAAGAAACATAAAAGCATGGATTGGGGAATAAAAGAAGGAATCCTGTTTATTAGAATGAGGGCTGTGTGAACATGATTTTTAAATATGCATATCTATATATACATCTGAATATCTATAATAATAGAAGAGTAATATGTTTATTAGACTGAACGTCCTTCTGGATGACCTTCTGGACAAAGCTTCAGTGGCAGGGGCCGAGGCAGAGGTGCCTGCTGCAGTGGGCGGGGGCCGAGCCCCTTGCATCAATTTTGTGCATCGGGCCTCTAGTATAGAATATGTGTGTATAGATCAGTGATGGCTAACCTTTTGAGCTCGGCGTGTCAGCATTTTGAAAAACACTAACTTAACTCTGGTGCCGTGTCACATATAGAAATTTTTTGATATTTGCAACCATAGCAAAACAAAGACTTATATTTTTGATATTTATTTTATATATTTAAATGCCATTTAACAAAGAAAAATAAACCAAAAAATGAGTTCACGTGTCACCTATGACATGTGTCATAGGTTCGCCATCACTGGTATAGATATATGTATATGTATGTTTAGGTACATATATGCATGGATGTGTGTATACATGCAGATATTTCCTAGTTCTGTATATTGAAAAGTCAGAAAATTAGACACCCCAGTAACACACCTAGCACTGAGACCTTGATCTCTAGTACCATTAAAGAGCTGAGATAAAATAGAAACAAGATGAATCTGGAACATCCTGTTATGCTGGAAAGAAACTGCTGAAAAAAAGGTATGAGAGTATGTCACAGTAGTCAGATTGAAGGGGACCCTACTGGCTAAATCTGGGACAGTTTCAGCACCAAAATACTTAAGCACAGACCCTCCAGCCAAGCCCACTGCTTCAGTCATAGGCCCTGCATGACTCAGTGCCTGGACCCTTTGGTGAGAGCTAAAATAGGAAGACAAAGCAACAACCCCCAAAGGAAAGAAAAGGAGGAATTGCCAGAAAAGGAACTAAATCAGCGGTTCTCAACCTGTGGGTCACGATCCCTTTGGGGGTCGAGCGACCCTTTCACAGGGGTCACCTAAGGCTATCGGAAAACACATATATAATTACATATTGTTTTGTGATTAATCAGTATGCTTTAATTATGTTCAATTTGTAACAATGAAATTGGGGGTCACCACAACATGAGGAACTGTATTAAAGGGTCGCAGCATTAGGAAGGTTGAGAACCGCTGAACTAAATGAAACAGAGGTATGCAATATGTCAGAAGAAGAATTCAGACTACGAGTCATACAGTTCTTAAACAGCCTGCATAAGAAAATCAACAACTTATGTAAGGGGAGATTAAAAAGGGTGGCAGAGTAAGTGGATGCTGCATGGACATGCTCCCAGGAACAAACTGGTATTACAACTAAAATACAGAAAAACTTTCTGAATAATCAACGGAAAACTTGCAGGAGAGAACCCTGACATCCAAAGACCAAAAGTGGAAACTGTATAGAGTAGTAGTTCTCAAACTTCCTAATGCCGCGACCCTTTAATACAGTTCCTCATGTTGTGGTGACCCCCAACCATAAAATTATTTTCATTGCTACTTCATAACTGTAATTTTGCTACTGTTATGAATCTTAATGTAAATATCTGGTATGCTATATGTGTTTTCTGATGGTCACAACCCACAGGTTGAGAACCGCTGGTATAGAGACTGGTAGGAGGGGTGGAGGTAGGAAAGGGCTGGCCAGGTGCCCACAGAGAGCAACTGAAGTCCTGGAGAGATATCTGATCTGTGAGAGGTTGCCACTGAGAACTCTAGGATCTAATCGCCAAGCTAGGCCCCCAGCAGAGAGCATCAAAACAGGAGGGTACACAGATAACATCTGACTGTGAAAAGCAGCAGGCTGCTGTCTGCCAGAGAGTAACAGCTGAAATCTTAGGCACCCTCTTAAAGGGCCAATGCACAAAATTCCCTGTGGAGCCACCCACCTTGTGCTCCAGCAGAGGGAGAGTGAAGTGGACTGGAGCTATGAGAGTAGAAGCCAGTACTGGGAGACTCAGGGGATAGAGCTCAGAAGGCAGACACCCAAAGTATCCTGGGCTGAGTAATTCCCTCACACAGCAGAGGACATCTTTCCCATATAGACATTTGCCTTGCCTGAGGGAAGACAGTTGGCACACCCTATCAGAAAACACCTTGCCCTGAGGCTACTTAAGAGACTAAAATAACAACTGGCCTCCAGGCACAAGAAACTGTCCCACCATATTGAAAGAAACTCTTGCCATACCTGAGGACAATTGCCTGGGGGGTTATTCAAGTTGGAATCCTATCAGTCTGTAGGCAGAGGCAGTCTCTTGAGGCTTTGAGTCTTTGCCTGATCTAATTAGTCAGAAACAGCCTTTAACACTGTCCTGCACTAGAAATTGAGAGGCATTGAGCATCTACATAATATGTAGTCACAAACCCAAACAGAAAGCCAAAATGAGGAGGCAAAGAAACAACCCCCAAATGAAAGAACTAGAGAATTCTCCAAAAGGGATAAATGAAGCAGAGATAAGAAATTTATCTGACACAGAGTTCAGAGTAACAATGGTAAAGATGCTCAACAGCATGAAAAGGGATATAGTAACTATGAAAAAGAACAGTCTGAGATAAAGAATGACAACACAAATAAAGAACACATTGGAAGGAATACACAGCAGATTAGGGGAAGCTGAGGATGAAATCATTGAATTTGAAAACAGAGTTGAAAATATCACTCAACTAGAAAACTAAAAAAGAAAAAAAAAGCAATTTAAAAACAGGAGGACAGCTTAATCCTTTGTACACCATAAGTGTCTAATAGATGCGAGTGGCAGACCTTCCCCACACACCATGCACATCTATAGCCACACAAAAAATAGCAATATTACACTCGGTGATTTCCAGTTACAGGTAATCAGGCAATTAGTTCAAAAACGTATATTAGCATGATGTGAGGAAAGGAAATATTATGCCGCTGACTTGCCATCCAGATTATATGAATGACATTTTTGGGGGGAATATCTGCCAAATGGGAGAAAAATCTACATGGAAAAAGTGTCTGGTATGCTCTTCAACTAGTATTGGTAGAAACCAGTGAAAAGAAACCAAATACTTTTGTAAACAATATAATGTTCCATTATGTGTTGTACTGTGTTTCCAACTTTATCATAAACTGAGGTGATTTTAATAATAACTAAGTGTACTTTTTTCAACTGTGTATGTACTACGTAAAAATCATTAAAAATGTTCTTTGGAAGAATTTTTTTAAAAAATGTTTTCTCTAAGTTGCAGCCCTGACCAACTTTAAAATCATTTTTCATGAGAATTTTCAACTGAAAATATTCAAGAACACATGAATTGTAATATATTTATTTTTATAATATTCATTGCAAATTGATTTTTTAATTAAATTCAAAATATAGTGACATGTGGGGATGGTTTCTATTTTGGACATGTGGCAGTTAACTGGTTAAGAGAGTTGTGGGACAACGTGAAATCCTAATATATAAAAATTCAGGACCCATAATATTCCAAACGACCAAAGGCTTGACCAACTGGAAGTCAGTCCTGCAGTCAGTGCTGAGTTGCCGGCAACCCAGCACTAACTGCCGCTGCTGCGGGTGTGGCGACCAGCACTGACTGCCGAGAGGGCTGTGGATCAGGCCTGGAGAGAGAACCAGGGTCTGATCCATAGCCTCTGTGGCAGCTGTTGATCAGTCCTTGCCTCTCTCTCTCCAGCCCTGGCCAACAGCCATGCCTCTCTTTCTCTCCGGGCCTCCTCGAGGGCTGCTTATCAGCCCTGCCTCTCTGATCAGGCCTGGAGATAGGCCAGGAGACGCTGAGTGGCATAAAAACTGACCAATTCGAACCAAATCTGGGTAAACTGAGAGGAGCCAATGACTGCATAGGAGGCAAAGCTTTTGATGCTGACTGGCATAGAAACTGACCAATCAGGACCTACTCTGGGTGTACTGCGAAGGCAGAACCTAAGGTGGGGGCTGAGGGGGGTGGTTAAGGGCAATAGTTGTTTGGTGTAAGGTGTAAGAAAG